GGAGAGAGAGAAACTGAGCATGCCTGGGGGAACGCGGGCTTTCCTTGCTGAAGTGACCCCTCTATTAACCGTCCCGGGTGTCCCAGAGGAAGCTGCGGTCCTTCCCAAACTGGGCTCTGCGGACCAGCTGCGCCAGAGGCACCTGGGCTCGTTTTAGAAACGTAGATTCCTGGGCCCCAGGGATCAGGCTCTCTGGTGTGGAGGCCTGGAATCCACATGGTTTCCAAGCGCCGTAGGTGATTCTGCTCCCCAGTAAAACTGGAAAACCAGTTGGACTGGTGGGACAGAGCTGGGTCCGTTTGGGGTGGGACAATGTCCATCCTCGGTGACCTTGGGTAGCTGGCTTAACGCCTCTGATCTCACCTACATCTCTGCGTTAACCCATCATCTTTAAGATGGAGCTCCTAATACTAGCCTCAGAGAGGCAACGTGAAGATTTAATGGAGTAAATGAAGCATTAATGGAGTAAATGAAGCATTAATTTGCATTCACTGCTTAAGAAATGTGAATTCCTTCCCTCCTCCACACCCCATTTCATAACACTGTCCAGGTACCAGTAACTTCATCTTATACTGTTCTTCCTAAGATCCTCCTCACTCTCCCCTTGCCCTGTCATTCCTTTTGGGGGCCTTGCCCTTGGGAATGGGAGCCAAACTCGAGATTGTTTCAGATTCATTCTCTCCACTCAGAACACATTTCCTGTGTTCTGTCAACTGAGGTGGCCAGCTCTGGGGAGTTGATTATCTCACAGATTAATCCATCATGATGTATTAATGGAGAAGAGTCGTGTGTTAAAACAATAACTGGCAGGTTATAAATTAACCGGGTATTTCAGTTCCCGTGGTTCACGCGAAAGGCAACTGAATCGTGGGAAATGCAGGCCTAGGACAGAGAGGTGGGCGCTGGAAACCCTTGTATTTAAGGTGACGGAGGCCTGCTTGGCGGGCTCCCATATGGACCTGGCCCTGGGGGGGGGATTACCCCCTGTCCTGGGGGTGCTACAGGTCAAGGGACTAGTTCTAATTTCCAAAATAGAGTACTCTGCTTAGCAGTGTGGCCCCTAGACAATGAGACTCAGTTACAGGTTCGTGGAGGTGTTACTACACTTCTGCTCAAGATGTCGACTCATGCAATTCGCCATGATGGAAGCGCCTGGAATCTACGGCCCAGTGCGTTGCGTCAGCCCGTGAGAAGGGAAGCAGTCACGTGTATCATACAAGACAGATGGGGCTTCCTAGCTGGCTGGGCGGTCTGGCCTCGGCCCTCAGGGCTTGCCCCCTTCAGAGCCATTTGGTGTGTGTGGAAGCAGCTGCCCACCTCACCTTGCCCCACTGGGGGGCTCTAGGGCAGTCAGGAAACTGCCACGCGGCCACCAGGACTTCCTCTCTCCTTCCAGATCCTTCCAGCCTGTTGCTGGACCATGCTCCTCGTGAGACACCGGAACTCAGGCCTCCTCAGCCAATGTGAGTCGGGGCTCTTCCAAAACAGTTAACGTAAATCTCCAAGAGGGAGAAGGGATCCATATAAACGTGGAGAAACACAACCACTGAAGCTATGGCAACCCTGTTAGAAAGTGACTAGCATCCAAGATGAAGGTAATCTTAAAGGCAGAGGACCAGATCTTCTCCGGTTTCTTACCTCAATGGTTAAGATTTGAGATAAGGAGAAAATGAATTTGAATGGGGCAGAGAGTCCGGCCAGTGTCCCCTGGGGAAGGTCTCACGGAGCCGACTGTACAAGGTCACGCTCACCGAGGCAGGTGGGGATTTACTCTGGGTGCGTGGCACGGAGATCCGGTTTTACCCAACACTACACACCAAACCACCGCTTCCAGACAGAAGGATCCCACCTGCAGCCACTGCTCTTTCTCTTCGCTCGTGTGCGTTATCCGAGGCTCGCTGTGGGCGCATAAAGCCAAAGAGGAAACTGAGAGGCAGGGGGAGGCAAAAGAAGGAAAAAGCTAAAACAGCGTGAGCCCGCCCTGCTGTCTGCACGAGTGCGTCGTGACCTGGGGACTCTTTCTCTTCTACCCTTCCCTTTCACTTTGTTGGGTGGGTGGGTGGTGGCTTGGTCTCCTGTTCTCCTGCATCACATTAACTCAGTGAAAGGAGTTAATTTTCGGTCCTGGGGCTCTCCAAAGCACAGCCCTTTTTGACTTCCCCTCCCCCACTGCTGTTTGCGCCTCAGAAGCTACAAGTGGTCCCCAGCGTTCCTAGGGTCAAGGGCTCAATCTTCAGCAGAGGTGACTGGCGGTGTGTCCCATGCCAACTGCTCCTGAATACGGGCACCCAAAGCTCCAAGGAGGGATGTGCCCCCACGGCCTGTCTCGTCAATCTGCTCACTTTAGCAGGTGCGGAAGAGGCGGCGGACAAATCGAACCTTATCCCCACCCCCATTTTAAAATTCAGCCAGATGTACGACCTGTTTCTTCCATTCATCCTGGTTAGGAGGAGAAGATGGAAGTACATAAAAAGCATGTTTGGGGGGAGGGGGCAGCCTCCCCACAAGGAAGGGCGTGTGTCCTTGTTACGCTTTTAGTTTCCTGGGAGCCTGGGGACCGACGTGCCCAGGTTCTCAGGTCACCATCCCCCGCCCCCCCCTCCCCAACGTGCTCTATACTTTCTGTTTACATTTAAGAGACCATCTAGCTCTAGGAGTGTCCAGAGCTGGAAACAGATGTGAGGATGGGGCCAGGAGACCCTGACGCAGGAACAGGGCTATGATCACGCTCGATGTGAGGATGGGGCCAGGAGACCCTGACGCAGGAACAGGGCTATGATCACGCTCATCCCCTCTCTCCTCTAGAGACAGCAGACGCCTGCTTTGCCTTTTCTCAGCTATAACACTTGCCCTGCCGAATGTCCCCCCACCCCACCTGGCTTGGATCCCACAAAGACTTGGATCCCAAGTCTTGCTGAGGCACAGGATGCGCCTGAGGAAGAAGGACACAACCTCGCAAGTCCAGGGGGGAAAGGAGCTGGGGGCCAAGCCTTGACAGTGGAGTGGGATTCATGTGGACAGTCGAGAGTCCTTTCCAGGGTAGAGCCCACCAGAGGCGGGTCAGCCGAGCAGCAAGACATTCAGGGCTTTGGAGAGGACCTGGCAGTCATGCGCTCCTGGTAGCCTGAGTTAGTAGCTCTAGTCGTAGAGAAGTCCACAGAGGGCCCTCTGAAGGTTCAAAGAGTGACTACCCAAGATTACAAAGAATTTAAGATGAAAACCATCTGTCGATGTGCTTTTGGTTGTTTCCTACAACAAAGCCTGTACATAACCTCATTGTCAAAATATGCTGTGGTTTCTGAGATGCATTATTTTCAGTTTCCCTTCCTCTTAATCCATTTCACAAGATGTTTAAGCTGTCTTCAAGTGCTTTATGGTTTATAAATCACCAAAAGCGATTCAACCTTATGTGTTGATGTGTTTTAATCGAAGAAGCTTTATGATGGCCAAGAGCCAAGTTTTATGGCATCTTTGTTTTCACTGAAGAAGAAGAAAGGCATCTATTAAGTACAATAAAGCTTTAAAGACGTTGTCAAATAGTTGGTTCTAGCAGCTTATGTCTTTATTCATTCGAGAGACTGATTTGGGAATTTGTAATCCTTACTGATCACAAGTCCTTTGGAAAGAATGCATATACTGTGTATTTACAACTATACTTAAAGTCAGACCTTTGGCATTTCATACATACATAGTTATCTCCCAACGAATGCTCTAAGATTTGAACCCACGCACACTATTTTCCAAAGGGCACGGACACCTCTGTAGATAATCAGTCTCATGAAATAAAGCCAAGCGACTGGGTTTCAAATGTTGAACTCCTGTGACTTTAGACCCAGTTGGAAGTATGTGCGTCTTCAGTATGTCTTGGTCCTTTCTGTTGCTGCCTTTGACTAGGAAAGTTGGCGTTCAAGACTGAAGCCTTCTGAGCGTTGAGGTCTGTAAACCTCGGTTTCTCCTCTCCCTTCCTCCTCCCTGCAATGTAAAGGAATCCATATAATTGTCATCCCTGCCCGATAACTGTAAATAAATAAATGTTCCTGGGGTCCTCCTGCAGAGTTTACTATCAAAACCATCTAATGTTGACAGATCAAGTTGGCAGATAATTACAGATACACCATATTAGTTAGCAAAGCAGTCTGAAAGAACCATTGCATGAGACAATGTTACTTTGGACACAGAACTTTGCAATGCAGATAAAAATATTTGTTTGAGTCCGCTCAGGCTGCTGCATAAGGAAACATCAAAAACCGGGTGACGTGAACAACACACACTTATTTCTCACAGTTCTGAAGGACAGAAATCCTGGCTCAGAGTACCAGCACTGTCTGGTTCTGGGGAGGGCCCTCTTCCGAGCTGCGGGCTGTTGACCTCTCTTTGTATCCTCACACGGGCACGGTGGGAACACAGCAAGCTAGGTCTCTGCTGTCTTCTTATAAGGCACTGACCCCATTCCTGAGGGCCCCACCGTCATGACCTGATCACTTCCCAAAGGCCCACCTCCTGAAACCATCACACTGGGGGGTTAGGATTTCAGCATCTGAATTTGGGAGGGAACAGTCAGTCCATAGCAATATTTAAGCAGGTAAATTATCATCAAAGGGAAAGAGCCTCACTTTGTATAAAGGCAGATCACTTTAATTTTTTCCGTGTGTAAATGCACTATGTCCATCAGTGGTATAGATGTTTTTCACTATTTCCACACGGAACCCTGCAACAGGCTCAACGGCGAAGAGAGAGTGGCACCTAGGCAACGACCCATCGGGAGCCAACTCTCAGTCTACACAGAAGGGGGCGCTGGGTGATACAGAAGCCATCGGTTAAGGAGTTGACTGTTTTCATTTCACTAACTCTGGTACATTGTAATGTCATAGACGCAGACCCTGAGCATCTCTTACCCTATTTCTAGACACGCCAGTACTTGTTATGGGTAGAAGTGCAATTCTTCTCAGTATTTCGAGATTGTGTGTATATTTCATAATCACAAGAGAGTTATGGGAGAATCAGAGCCTCGTGTCCTCTTCCTTGCCGGTCTTCTCCCAATAGTATCTATCCAGGAACAGAAAGGAGAGGCTCAAGTGCAAATGGAGTCACAGAGAGATAAGAAAAGATGACTCAGTGCATTATACAAAGTCCACTGTTCCAATTTCTTTGTCACTGTGACTCTCCTCTCTGATACGGACCATCCCGGTCTTAAGAGAATTGGAAAACACCCTTCTAGTGAGCCATTTATTGGAAAATCTAGGCAGCCAACCTTCTCCTGGGTAAGTTAGGCAGTCCCATTTTGCAAAGAAGGGCTAGACCGTCTCTTTGAACACCTGACTATAGGTCACATGATTGTCTGTGGCCAGGGCATTTTTCAGACACTGCCAGAAGTACGGGTGAGCCTGTGGGTTTGTTGGCCACTCAAGGACAGAGCTCTTACAGAGCCTTTTCCGGAGCTGGAGGAACTTGGATTTCTGAAGGGGCTTCTCAAGGAATATCAAGATAATGACGTCCAATTTTTCATCCATGAGCCTCTGATGGGACAAGTAAAATGCTATCTTAAAGTTCTCAGTCTTTGCGTACTTGTTTGTCATCACAAACACCGTCTTTTTGCTAAGCTGTATGCTCTGGGAAAGGTTTTCCAAAACTGGCTGCCCTGGTAACCAATCCCTTTCCTCAAGACATAAATTAAAATGTTTCTCTCTCGGGTCTTCCAACTTGGCCACCAGCTCATCCAAAACCCACTCTGTCACTGCGGGATCTTTACTGTCATACACAACAAAAGCATCATAGCAAGAATCCAGGGATGTCAGACGCCGATACCCCTTTATTTTGGCCTTACAGAAATGGTAACTATACCACACATCCCAGAAGTAGAGGTGGTTTGCCGTTGTAATCACCATTACAGAAAGAGCCACCGACAGGGAAAGTGAGAACAGAATCAGATTAGTCAGATCTAACTCACAGGTATACAGATCCAGAGAGACTACACTCTGGCCCTTGTGTGCTCCTGGCCCCACACAAGTCACATCCGTGGCCAAGTAAGGAATGATCACCTCTGTATGGTTAACCCACCAGACAAACCACACAGCATCACAGGTGCACAGAAACTGATTGTGATGCAAAAGTAACATCTCCAGATTGTTGAGGACATTTTCTGGAAAGCTAGTCTTTTGGATAATCTGGATTTTATTTGAGCTGAGGTCCAGATACCGCAACTGGAAAGCATCTTGTAGAAAATACTTTGTCAGATGCCTGATTTGATTATACTTAAGAATCAGTTTCTTGAGGCTTCTGGAACAGTTGTATAATCTGTCAGGGACAGTCTTCAGCTTGTTGTAGCTGAGGTCTAAAGTTTCTAGACTCTTCAGATACTGGAGTCTTTCCCAGGTGAAGGATGTGAGCCCATTTTTGACCAAGGAGAGAGTCTTTAGATTTGGAGGCATGCCATCAAAAACTTCAGAAGGCAAGAAAGTCAGGGAATTTTCAGAGATGTCTAATTCCTCTAGGTTCAGCAGATTCTTGAAGAATTTTAAGTATCTGTTATCACCATCTCTCCATAAAACATCCAAATGATTTCCTCTGAATTCCAGAATTCTAAGAGACTCACTCTCCATGGTCCTGCTGGTGGAGGTAGCGATGTCATTGTAGTTCATCATCAGTTTCTTCAGAACTTTTAGGTTCTTGGTAAAGTTTAACATGTGAGTAATTCCTTCTGATTGAAAGTAATGGCTGTTACTGCTAATATCTAGAACTTCCAGATTGCGTAGCTCCTCAAATGCTGTTGAGTAGAGTAAATCAAGCCGGTTGTTCGAGAAGTCCAAGTATTTCAAGTCCACTAAAGGCTGGAATTCACTGCCATTGAGAGTTTGGCCAATGGTATTTCCTGACAAATTTAGGCATTTGAGGAAAGAAAGATGCCGAAAATCAGAGGACTTGATAAAAAATATATTGTTTCTACTTAGGTCCAAGGTCTGCCCGTACCTGTAACAATCTTTATTAAAAGGCAAAAAAGAAGGAGTCTCTTTGTTTTTGAACCTGCAACTCCTTGCGTACTCGTCGTATCTGAAATAATGTAATGTTTCGAGGACCTGAGGTGCATGACCTTCTACAGAAGTTCTGGTGCTAGAGCAGAAGCCAACTTCGCTTGAATCTCCTGAGGGTGATATTTTATTCATTGAAAGATCTATGACTTTCAATGTTTTGAATTGTTCAAATAGGCTGAGGTCTGCAATTTTTATGAAGTTAGTGCCAAGATCAAGAACTTCAAGATTGGAAAGGCTCTGTAATGGGGATAGATTATGGCTGCTCAGCTCCTTAAAAACGTATCCTTTGATCCGCAACACTTTCAGATTTTTCAGTGAAGAAAATGCATTTGACAGATTCAGAGCTGCACGATAGACTTGAAGTTCATAATTGAAAGACAGATCCAACTGGACAAGGTCGTGAAGAAGATACAAAAATTTGGCATCCCCAATTTCTCTGGCCAAGAAGTTTTGGGAAAGATCTAGCTCCTTCAGTTTTTTAACATTTTTAAACCATCTTTGGGGCACATGCTGAAGAGAGTTACTGTGCAGACGTAACACTTGTAATTCTGTCAGTGCGTCGAAAGCCGATGGGTGGATCTGTAGGGGAGAATTATTTTCACAGGGCGTACAAGGAAATGGAACATTGTAACAACGAGGGCAATTTCCACTTAGGTCAAGAAGTTGCAGTTGATGGAGGTTATTAAAGTCCTCTTCTTGGATTTTTGCAATGGCGTTGTTATAAAGATAGAGTTCTATTAAAGTAGATGGCAAAGTAGTAGGGACATATGTGATATTGTTATCTTTTAGGGAGAGCAATTTTAGATTTTTCAGACTTAGGAAAGCATCTTTTTCGATGAAAAACGAAATGTTACAAGGGTTGCGAAAATAGCAGTTTTGGCCCAAGTAGAGCTTTTCTATATTGGTCAGTTCTGTTAGGTTATTTTTCATGATAGAAAAGATACTGTTGGCCTCAAGGCTCAGCAGCTGCAGGTTGGGAGGAAGACCCTCAGGTATTTCTAGAAGCTGGTTTCCATCCAGATAAAGGGATTTCAAATAAGTGAGTCTACTAAAGCTTCTGGGTTTAATCTGTGGCCTCCTGGTGCACAGATGGTCTTTGGGCCCTAGTCGAACAGGTATACAGTTGCATCTGAAATCGATCTCGACCAAATAGTCCAGCTGGTGGAAGGAGGCTGGAGAGATGCTGGGTATGTGGTTAATGGTGAGGGTGAGGTTGGTGGCATTGGTGGGAATACCTCCAGGGATTTCTGTCAAATGCTTGTCGGTGCAGTCCACGATCACATGGGCCTTTGGAGCATCCAGACTGACATCACAGGGCAGAGTTTTAGGAAACCATCTAGCTCCAAGGAGTTTGGAAATTAGGATTATGTTTAAAAAGATAAGGAACTGTCTCTTCAATGTCCACATTGGAAACACCTGAAAGCATAAGAAAGACCAAATCATCATCATTCAAAGTCATTCTAGAACATACCAAGAATCAGATTTGAAATTTCCCATCTGCTGCCTCTCTTTTGCTACAGTTTAAAGTAAACAACCCAGGGGCGCCTGGGTGGCTCAGTTGGTTAAGCAACTGCCTTCAGCTCAGGTCATGATCCTGGAGTCCCAGGATCGAGTCCCCGCATCGGGCTCCCTGCTCAGCAGGGAGTCTGCTTCTCCCTCTGGCCCTCCTCCCTCTCATGCTCTCTGTCTCTCATTCTCTCTCTCTCAAATAAATAAATAAAATCTTTAAAAAAAAAATAAAGTAAACAACCCAGGTCTTATTCTCAATTGCCTAAACGGCATCTCCCCACCCCCCATGACTGTACTTGCCCTACTACGGAGGTTCATAATAATCGAGTTACACATTTAGCTTTTAGCATGTTAGCTTTTCGATTCCATAGCTTTGAAGGTGGTAGAAGCAGCATTTTCCTATTCACTGTTATTTAAAATAGTACAATGAAGGAGCTATCAACTAGCTGCCAAAGTCTGAAATTTGTGGATGAAGGAATATTAAAACAAAAATATACTGGGAAGAATGACACATTAAGACTTTAGTGCAGGGCACCCGGGCGGCTCAGTCAGTTGAGCGTCAGCCTTCAGCTCAGGTCGTGATCCCAGGGTCCTGGGATGGAGCTCCACATCAGGCTCCGTCTTCAGCGGAGAGCCTGCTTCTCCCTCTACCTCTGCCCCTCCCCCTGCTTGTGCACTCTCTCTCTCTCAAATAAATAAAATCTTAAAAAAAAAAAAAAGACTTTAGTGCAGTTACTGTTTGCTTGCTAATAAACCTGCTCTGGTACATATTACAAGAGGCTTTCACAATATTCAAGACTCTTAATATTCTTTTTTTTTAAAGATTTTTTAAAAAATTTATTGAGAGGGAGAATGATAGAGAGAGAGCATGAGAGGGGGGAGAGTCAGAGGGAGAAGGAGACTCCCTGCTGAGCAGGGAGCCCGATGTGGGACTCGATGTGGGGACTCGATCCCGGGACTCCACGATCATGACCTGAGCCGAAGGCAGTCGCTTGAACAACTGAGCCACCCAGGCGCCCCGATCCTCTTAATATTCTAAGTAGAAAAATTAAGAGATCCATTATCCCCATTTTATAGTTGAAGACCTAGCTCAGCAATAGTAGCGGATTTGCCCCAGGACACTCAACTCCCATTTTGGCGCTGCCATTCTATGAGCTTGTTTTCCTCTTGGATTGTTTTTGGAAATCCAAGATGATTTGGGGATGAACATCTCCCCTACACATTGGCTTTACATTACGTAAATTTGGAAAGGAGAGAGCAGAGAGTCAGGGCATTGCCTCAGTGAGTCCTGATTGATCAACGACGATACTTATGGGAATGAAAGGAAGGGGGACTTAGTAATACTTATGCTAAGACTATAGGCAGAAAACCAAGACTCTCTCAGGCAAACTGGGACATATGGAAACCTACCCATAATGGTGGTTCTTGGGCAACCAGGTTTAGCATGAGAGACAAGGGGACCCTGGGGAGAAAGACCTTAAAAGGTGGTATGCTAGTCACCATATTAACTTGAACTGGCCCTGCCTTAGAGGGTGGTTTAACCAGGGACTTGCCCTCAAGTTTCAGGATTTCTATCAATATTTTACTCCAGAACACTGGTTTCAGTTTAACTGGTGTTAACCCATGGAATGATCTAGCCTGTGTCTCTACAACAGGCTTCTAAATCAATTAATGTTTTTGTCATCCCAATTGACTGAATCAGCCAATTGTGTTGATATCTAATAAACCAAATGCCTACTTTCCTTAATTCCTCTAATAAATAAATAAGCAAATTTTCCCTCAGCTTTTTTTTCCTCTAATGCAAGATGTTTCAGAAGGATCTCGAGAGCTTCTTCATACATCTTTATGTGCCTAAAGTTTGTTGAGGTTAGAAGTGCAACACTGTCTTTTTTTTTTTTTCTCTTTCACCACCTTGTCTTCTCCTCATCATCAAAACCATTCACTGAGTCCAGTTGACATTCTTCATTGACCTTCTTGACATCCTCCTTGCTTCGCCATTTTAGCTGACACAATTTCAGCTGAGATGATCCCACCCTTGGTCCACTGTAAAACCTCATCCTTGTCCTCAGGCTCTCACTCTTCGAATCCACCCTAACCATTAAACTTCCCAAACATTAATCGGATGACATTACTCTAAAGTCTTTAAAATGATTTTTTTCCTTCTTTTTTACAGAATGAGCCCTAACTTTTTATCATGGCATCCAAAGTCTTCCATACTTTGTCCCCTATCTACTTGTCCAGGCTTCCCTGATACACTGCCCCTACCAGTTTCTCTAGTCACTAACCCAAGCCCAGTTTGTAGCTCCCTTACTTGCAAATCCTTTCACCTGGACTACTCTTTTCTGCCATTTCCACCCAGCAGAATTCTAGTCATCCTTTAAGGCTTTACCTCCCAATCTAGAGCATTCAGATCCCTGGGAAGATATGGCACTAGGCCAGGGTGTACAGGAGGCCCTTAGATAAATATGGCTTGTCTCCCTTGAGCATGAACTTTACTCAAGGATTTAGGAGAAAAAGGGGCGCCGGGGTGGCTCAGTTGGTTAGGCGTCTGCCTTTGGCTCAGGTCATGGTCCCAGGGTCCTGGGATCGGGCCCCGCATCGGGCTCCCTGCTCAGCGGGAAGCGTGTTTGTCCCTCTCCCACTCCCCCTGCTTGTGTTCCCTCTCTCGCTGTGTCTCTCTCTGTCAAATAAATTAATTAAAAAAAAAAAAAAAGATTTAAGAGAAATGTTCATCACTCAGGGAAGAGGGGTTGAGCCAAGATGGAAAAAGGAGGGAAGTAGAGTGAGCTATTTTTATGGTCCCTGATTATAGGATCCCAGACCCTGGACCCCATCTCCAGCTATGCTTTTGTCAGAAGACATGATGGGTTCATGAACCCCAGTATCAGAAGGTAATAAGTAATGCTGCTAAGGGCGTTACTGTGGACCTGGGAGGTGTGCTGTATTCCAAAGGGGGCCAAAATAAATAAAGGACAAATTGTGAACCAGGTGCCCTCTTCTGATCCCACTCCCACTAACCTTGATGAGCTCCTGGGAAGAACTGGGAGGATCCCTGAATTAGCGGAGGTAAAAACACGAAGTGACAGCAATCACCACACCGAGTTTCCAGAATATACCTAGTTTAAGTATTTCTATGATGGGGGGAAGTAGATGCTCTAAGATGAAGGCAGTTCAATTATAGAAAAAATAACAGCGGTGTGTTAGTAAATGTTTAACAACCGGCTGTCCTCCCCCAACCCACATCTCTGATTCGCGAAGTCCTGTAGGAGCTGGGTCCAGCAAACCCTGCCCGTTAACACACCTGTGACAATTTCTGTGAAATTTTTAGCCTCTACATATGGACATAGTATGAACTAGAAGGAAAAATTAATCAGAAAGTCTTTTCTTTCTCCCTTATTTCTAAACTTTGTCTGGCACCTGTCCACCTTCCCCCTTGTCTACTAGCACCTTCTTCCTGCCATTAGCCATTAGGTCTTACCTGGACTACCGCAAGAGACTCCTAACTGGTCCACCCAATTCTCCTTCTCCTCTACAATTCATTCATCAAATGGCATGAGAATAGTCTTTATAAACATGAATCACACCAACTGCAATGACTCCCTATTACACTTTGAATCTTTATTATTGCTTATATCATGCATGTTCTGACTCAAGCCTAGCTCCATGACCTTGAACCATCCTTCTCCTACTCTGACCACATGCCAGACATCTGGCCTGTTTTCTGTTCTGCATTTGAGCCAGTCTTAGCACTTGCTGTTCCCTCTTCCTGAAATTATCTTTCTCCTCCTCTTCCTGTAGCCAGGTCATTCTCATCCCTTAGGTGTCTGCACAAATAACACATATTCGGACAGACCTTCTCTGGCCAACTCATCCAATACCCTCCCATGTAATACTAGTGATAGTGACAGTAGCATTTGTTAACTTAGGTATCACTTACTATATTCTGAGCATCATTTGCAGTGTTTAAATATATTAACTCATTTAATCCTCTTAATAACCACATGTGAGTGGTACTACAGATCCTCAATCCTTACCCAAAACCTTTGGGGCTAGATGTGTTTTGGAACTAAGAATTTTTCAGATCTTAGAAGGTAATATGATATATGTATCCACATATTATATAATATCCTTACTGAGGCCCAGGGCACCATCCCATAATCAAACACACAAAAATTTGTGCAGTGAAACAAAGAACTCTCCACACTAAGTGAGGAGAGAAGGGAGAGAGGGACATCAAGAAAAGCAAGCAAGCACGCACGCAAGCACCCAAGCAAGAAAAGAACTAGCTTGTTCAGTTCAGATCAAGATTCACCTCCTCGGGCGCCTGGGTGGCTCAGTTGGTTAAGCGACTGCCTTCGGCTCAGGTCATGATCCTGGAGTCCCGGGATCGAGTCCCGCGTCGGGCTCCCTGCTCGGCGGGGAGTCTGCTTCTCCCTCTGGCCCTCCCCCCTCTCATGTGCTCTCTCTCATTCTCTCTGTCTCAAATAAATAAATAAAATCTTAAAAAAAAAAAAAAAGATTCACCTCCTCTGAAAGACAAAGCTTTCAGGTTGGGGATTTTGGAACTGTGGACCTCTATTATTAATTTCCATTTTACAGATGAGTCCACTGAGGTACAGAGAGGTATATGTACTCTGTACTAGATCACCCTGCTTTATTTCCTTCATGGCCCTTAGCACCATCAGAAATTATCTTGCCAGTAGTTTATGTGCTTATGACTTGTGTGCTTATTTGTTTAATGTTTATCCTGCATGAGAAGATAAGCTCTGAGAGAGCCCGGCTTTGTGTGTCCTTGTGTAAAACAATGCCTGGCAGTTAATTCGTGTTGCATTATGTTTGCTAAATACATGAATAGAAGAATGAATGCGTGCATGAATGAAATAAAGCAAAATACTTCCAACAAATTT